CCCTCAAACTCCAACGACGGTGCTACCTACTCACTAATAGTGGGATAGCGCTATCTAAAGGAAACAAACATAGAACAATTCTTTTTTCGAGTAGGTAGATTAACTCTTAAGTATTTGCTCAATACAAACAAACTTTTTCACACTTACACTCCTTTCAAACAAAATTTTCAAAAACACTTCGTAACACTCTTGAAGACAGAAGCAATGGTTAAATCGAAGTCAAAACAAAAACTTTTTCCAAGCCACACAAACACAAAGAAGCAATTTTGAAAATGATGAGCAAGTACCTAAGAGCCTGTAGATAACTACGGATAGAAAGGGTGCTAATACCTTCCCTTTCTATAATCTACCCCCCGTACTCAGAAAATCTCGAAAAAGGAATTTTTCTGTGCTTTTTTCCTTTCCTTGTTGGATAAAATAAAAGTCGATGACGACTCTTGCTTACCGCGACATTTTGCAAACATAAACGCAAAACGCAAACCAGCATTCCTAAAAAACAAGTCCTGGTTCTGGCCACCGTATCACACAAGGCGAGTACCTTTTATGCTACTACAGTACAAGCAGGTTATATGCCATGAAACGTTACATCTTCTGGCGCTACAGTAATGCAAGGCAATGTGCTATTAATTTCTACTTTAATTTCTATGCTACATCAAACCAGCCATATACTTATTAAATGTTCATTCTTCCTATGCGCTACTGCCTGCCATATGCAAGTGCCGTTAATTGCTATTTCTTTTTTTTATCGCTACAATATACATAATATGGGATTTTGCAAGGAAAATACCAAGGCACTTATTTATGTGTATAACTAATTATATTGGATCCTAAATCATCTCTCAATTTCATCAATATACCAATTTCAAACACAACTAAAAATAAATTTTCATAACCCAAATTCACATACTACTAATTATACACCCTATTATAGAGTCAGAACCCCACTCTTACCTCGAATTAGGAGCAGCTCTAAGAGACTTCAACCGAATTTTTTGGGGAAAATGGCACTTGAAGAAATTTCCTCTTGTTCTTCTTCTCTCCTCACAAACCCTATTTTCCTCTTCTTTTTCTCTTCCTGATAACAAAACCCTCTTCTATTCTTCTCTACTTCTATTTCCAATATAATATATCATATTCTATTTAATCTTTAAAAAAAACTCAATTGGGCCTAAAAAGATATACCCCTCTATTACTACACAATACCACCAATTAAGCCCAAATTCATTTAAGCTTAATAATAAAATAACTCTTTAACTTAATTCCACCAAATTAAATTCGATTAATTATTATTTCAACTTAATAAAATAATTCCGACTTCGACGATAAAAATGAATTAATAAAAAAATATTAAAAAATATTTAATTAAATAAATAATTAAATACCGGGCGTTACACTAGTTTCCTGGATGTTTTATCTACCATTAGTTGTTGTCATGGTTGGCTCTATATGGAGATCACCGATCTTTTGAACTGTCGTAAGTGAAATTTCTAACTTTTTTATCCATTATGGAAATAGGTAATATAACTACACTAGTATCTAGCTCCTTTTGTGATGGATTTTATTGGAACCCATCGAAGCTTTCCTCCCGTTCTATCTCCTCTAGTTCTTCTTCTCCTTGACTATTGAGAGAAGCAAATTTTACATCTTCGTCGACATTAACTAAATGACAATGCTCTTTTGTATTTTTCTACGTGTTGGAATTGAAAGCATCCTTCTAGTTAATTGCTTTGTCAATTGACCAACTTGAGTTTCAAGATTTTTAATCGCCATATGGATATTCGTCTAGTTAACAATTGACATGTGCGTAAACTAGTTAAATTTATATTCTATCTTTGTTGATTTTTCTAGTGGAGTTTCTTATGTATAATATGAATATGGTCGTCTATTTGAAGGTCTTGTTTCTGATCTCTTGCCTTGATTAAATTTTTCCTTTAGAATTTATAATTTTGACATTTCCCAGGCCTTTGTTGGTTTCTAAAATAGTTGACTTCTTCAGTTGGGGGAAAAATCCAGTAAGTTGACCGCTACTACAAAGCTCATAAAATGTGATCTGCCTTTAAATAAGTGTCTAATGTATTTCTTTCAATGTTATGCAAGCTTTGGTAGTTTCTTTGTTAACATGTCTATTATTTGTGTTAACAACTTATTGTGTGCTAGGACTGCATCATTAGTGTTTAACTCTATGATGCTAGTTTTTATTTGGGAAGGGTTTCGGTTGTATTGACCTTGATGGTCACTGAGTGTCATTTGTTGAATTAATGCAATTTCATCTTTTGCGCTTTTTTCTATTAGAGAACTCCCAACAGTAGCATCTAGCAACATCTTTGGTTGTTATTGTAATCCATTTCTAAAGATCTGTGTCTAGGTGAGATAATCCAAATTGTGGTTTAGACTTCTTTTCATCATGGATATTTACCTCTCCCACGTTTCACATAGAGTTTCACTTGTGCTTTGGAAGAATACACTGATTGTTGTTTTAGCTTCCATGAACTACCTATGAGGAAGAGTATTTCTAGAAACTTTTCCTATAGTGTATTCCAGTTGGTCTTAGCTTGACGGTTGATCAAGCTACCATTCCTTTTCTTTCTAGATCAATGAGTGTGGCAATAGCCTCAGGAATATTGCCTCTTCTGTAGTTTCTATAACTCCGAGTGTACCAGACATCTCGTAAAACTTAGTGAGATGTGTATATGGGTCTTCATGATATAATCCTACAAAAGAGATAGCATAAAGAATTTGCAATAATCATATTTTCATCTCAGCTTGACAAGTATTCCTTTGTGGTCTATCTATATGAGCTAGTCTTCTTGAATTATGTGGCATGACATGCTACCACCATTGTTATTATTTCCATTATTGTCATTGTCTTTGTTTCTCATTTTCCTCGTTGTTGTTGTTACTAGTGTTTTATGTTTTTGAGATAAAAGACTCTTCTAGACCTTGTTACTTGGCTAACAACTCTTCTTTTCTAGTATTTATATTGTTTATGTGTGTAGTGAATTCTATTTCAGGATCAAATATTAACAAAATATCAACAAATATCAATAAAATGTTAAAATACTTATTTGTAGGATCCTCACATAAACAAATATCAACAAAATATTAAAATACTTATATGTAAGATAGTGACTATAAACAAAATATGAACATATATAAATAGATATAAACAAAATACTTAAAATGATAAAAACTATCATAATATATTTAAAAACTAATGTCAGTCCTCGACAACATCACCATTTTTGTTACAAATATATATAGAAAATATATTTTTATCGTCTCCACATAAATTGATTGTTTTTTAAAGACCTCTAAAATATTAGACATCTTTTTAATCATGTACGATGTTTGATGAATAATGAAAAAGATAAATAAAATAAAATAACATTTACTACCGTATATCCTTATATATATATATATATAATATATCCTTATATATATAAAGAGAATTTGGACGGCCATCAATACAAATACACTCTTAAATCATCGTAAATTTACTTCTAATTCCTTTTTTTTAATCAAATTTTATGTCATAGAACTCCAAATAATAACTTCTTATTGCTAAGTCAAGATTGAGGCAGAATGCCATGCCTTGACTCAACATTTCATCAAAATATTCTTTTTTTTACGATAACAACAAAATACAATTCATAAAGACGGTTTGATGGTGGCAACAAAATTTGCTGATACGTTTCTTTTAGCCATATATGAAAACGTTAAACTAAATCGATGCTGTCTAACATTATTAAGTATAAATGGACATTTAATTGCTAACGTTTTTTTCAGCAACTAAAAAGTATAGCAACATCCTAAAAATAGCAAAATCCTACTTCAATGAAATATAGTGTTTTATTGGACAGTAAAATTAAAATTTATTATGCATTACAATTAAAACATAAATTATGATTTTTTCCAAAATAATAATAATAATAATAATAATAATAATAATAATAATAATAATAATAATAATAATAATAATAATAATAATAATAATAATAATAATAATAATAATAATAATAATAATAATAATAATAATAATAATAATAATAATAATAATAATAATAATAATAATAATAATAATAATAATAATAATAATAATAATAATAATAATAATAATAATAATAATAATAATAATAATAATAATAATAATAATAATAATAATAATAATAATAATAATAATAATAATAATAATAATAATAATAATAATAATAATAATAATAATAATAATAATAATAATAATAATAATAATAATAATAATAATAATAATAATAATAATAATAATAATAATAATAATAATAATAATAATAATAATAATAATAATAATAATAATAATAATAATAATAATAATAATAATAATAATAATAATAATAATAATAATAATAATAATAATAATAATAATAATAATAATAATAATAATAATAATAATAATAATAATAATAATAATAATAATAATAATAATAATAATAATAATAATAATAATAATAATAATAATAATAATAATAATAATAATAATAATAATAATAATAATAATAATAATAATAATAATAATAATAATAATAATAATAATAATAATAATAATAATAATAATAATAATAATAATAATAATAATAATAATAATAATAATAATAATAATAATAATAATAATAATAATAATAATAATAATAATAATAATAATAATAATAATAATAATAATAATAATAATAATAATAATAATAATAATAATAATAATAATAATAATAATAATAATAATAATAATAATAATAATAATAATAATAATAATAATAATAATAATAATAATAATAATAATAATAATAATAATAATAATAATAATAATAATAATAATAATAATAATAATAATAATAATAATAATAATAATAAAGTTACATTTTTTGGATACAATAAAATTACATTATTGATACATTTTTTTAGAAAGGATTATTGACACATAAAACTTAAATAAAAAATCAATACATGTTCATAGAATCTTTGCTTCCAAAGTACTAATGATAAATCTTGATATGAGATATGCAATTGCTGAGAACGTCATGGGAAGCGATATTAACAGAGATATCACATTGGTTAGTAGCCATAGCCTTCATTTTGATAAAACTGAGAATAATGACTTTACCAGGAAGTTCAGCTTTTGACATCAATGAAAATTTCGTCCCATTTTGAATATCAACAGAAAATTTTGGATTTTCGGTCAATTCTTCGACCATGAAATTTGCATGAGTGGTGACATTAATTCCACGACGTGCTGGAACAAGTTGTGAAGGAATTGGAACAGTACCAACAAGAGTATCTCGATAAGTGATATAGCTAATTGAATCTATATATTTGAAGTTCCCATAATTTGAATTCTTTATTATAATCAAAACGGGTATAGATATATTTGTAGATCCTGGTGTAGGGAAGTCGAAACGTGAAATGTTAAGAATAATATTTGGATCTCTCAGTTTGAAAACTGTAAATATCAAGGCTACAGTGATGGTTGAGATAGCAATGAGAATTATTGCAGATACACTCAAACAAATTTTCAGGTTTTTGGACACCATGGTTTTTTGTGTGAATTTTTTACTTGTCATATTTTTACACAATAATTTTTAATATATCATTCTCTTAACTCAATAATATCAAACTATCATGTTTTTAAATTAATTTTATTGTTGACACAAAATAACCGTCAAGTGAATGAGGGAAACAACACAAAATATTTGACATCCGCAAAAATAATGGAGAACTTTTGGAAATTGAAGAGGAGTCCGCCCATCTAATAGGCGAAAGTGTTATAATGTGATTTTTTTCTTCTTATTTAAATAAACTTATTTGAATTATATATATAAGTTTTGTTTAATTATATTTAAATTATATGATTATACTATAATTAAACAAAAATTTAATTGAGATATGAAATAATAATTAAATTAAAATATAAGTTAAAACAATAATACTTAATTCATTAAATTAAATTTTGAAAAAATTACAAGAAAGCACATCTACGGTTGATTTTGGCCGAGTCGTGTCAATCGTTGGTGAGTTTCACAATGAGGAGTTTGTCTGGTACGTTGACCTATTCTGCTATTTCTTTCTTCATTTTGTGATTGAGTTGAATGTCCTGCGTCACATATGGCCATTAAAATTCCTAAATTATTTCATCATTGGTATAGTCTGTCTCGGTTGCACTGCCATAACTTAATCTTATTCCCTCTCAATTCCAATTTGGTAGGGTATTAATAGGCATTGGGCTATTTACTAAGGGTTGATAATAATCTTGTGAGGTAAATTGTTGTGGCTGAGAAATAGACATTTGTTGTTGGAGTGTTTGGAAGTTGAGGTCATGTGGGATTAGTAGTGTTAATGATGTTTGTGGTAGACTGTTTGATGTAGACTGGGTAAAATTGAATATTGTTGTTGGGTGTCTTATTGGATGGGGTTAGATGAAGAATATTATTGTTGGATGCCCCATTGGGCGGGGTTAGATGAAGAATATTGTTGTTGGGTGCCCCATTAGGCGGGATTAGATGAAGGGTTTTGTTGATGGTATCATTGGCTTGGGGTAATAGGTGCTTGTGTTGGGATGAAAGGTTGTTGGATGTTAAGGAAAGGTTCTTGGTTTCTCATGAATGGTTGTTGGGTGTAAGTGCTTGACGATGGTCTGGTGTATTGGATGTTTGAGGATGTTGGTTGGTCACGAGGCTCAAATAAGAAGTTATTTGGTGACAAATACAAATTTGTAACAGACTTATACCATTTTATAAATTCCTTACTCGATTTTGTGAGAGAAAAGTCCCTCTATAAGTATTTTAATGATGTCAAAACAATTATTAATCTCTCTCTATTTGGGGTTGGTCCTATGAATAATCTTGCAATGGAATTATTGGAATGAAGATCTCCAGAAACACTTATTTTTGAGAAAATTAAATTTGTGCGTCGACTCAAAGATATGTGTGGTCGACTCATCATCTTCAATTAAGCCCTGGATGTGTCAGGTCGACCCTTCCGGTCGACTCAAACTAGAAATCAAAATATTAAACTATTGCGTCGACGCAAGCCCTGTAGCAGTCGATGCACTACACTTCATAATGGATTTCTCTCTGACTGTTGAAGGTATAACGTCGACCCTTCTGGTCGACTCAACCTGGGAATCAGAATATTCAAAGTTTGCATCGACGTAAGTCTTGAAGCCGTCGACGCATTGCATTTCAAAACAGTTTTTTCTCTGTCAACGGGTTGTGTCACGCCGACCCCAATTTTTAGTTGAGTCGATCGCTCGCTGGCCTCATCTGATTTTCTGCTATGATTGTGGGTCTTTGATATTAGGTAACATATATATATTCATTATGATTTATTATTTCAAGTTAACAATAACTAGTGAAAGATACACATAGTGTTCATCATCTTCATCCTCTCTTCTCAAAAATCAACATCTACACATAATCATGGTTGTTGATTCAAGAAAATTGTTGTGGTGATAACGTTCAAATCAAGGATTCAATTCAGGTTTGGGTTGAGAAATTGTGGGTTGTTCTTGAATAAAATCATTTGGATTTTCTCCTCCAAGATTCCTATTGGTGCGGGGGGTTTTTCACAAGTCTATGCTTCATTGAATTCAACCGAGTGAAATGATTAAGAAACAGTGGGTTTGCTTAATCAAGTAGCGGTAATCGGAGGATTGTGAAGATTTATTTAGGGTCAAATTTCTTGCGATCGAAATCAGCCGAGTGAAAGGATTAAGTAACGGTGGGTTTGCTTAATCATGTAGCGGTAACCGGAGGTTTGTTTGAAGAATTATCACTTGGTTTTGCTTAAACCTAGAAAAGGGAAGAAGATTGTTACATCAGCAACATTGGTTTATTTGTGTTGTGAACTATCTCTTCTCTTGTATCATTTGCAACTTAATATCAAATATCTCAATTCTAGATTCTAGAATTGGGGGCAGACGTACCCTACATGAGGACGACAAGGGAAATTGCCTTAACAAATCGTGTGTTCTTCTGCTTTATCTTTATACTTGATTACTATATTGTGTGAAAATTAATTTGTCAAACCTGCATATATTGAAATTGTAGTGTGTTGAGTTCATTTTAAAACATTGGTAACAAATCATTTTAATTGATACCTAAGAAAACTCACCACTACAATTTAGTAAAATCAAACCTAAGGTGCTTTGCTCATAAGGTGTTTGACAAATTGACTAATCCACAAATTATTCGTTGTGTTTAGCCTTATCTCATTCAACTCATTGGAAGTAATTAATATTCATTGAGGGTGTATAAGTGATTGATCAATTGAGTAAAATGAATTGATTCTTACTTTGTCATTATATCCCATACGATTACGCATATCCGATCTTTTCAATAGAGGATCGTTTAGACGATTGGAGATTCCAGGAAGCTTTCGCATATTTTTCTGAAAAACAATTTTAAAAAGCACAAATTATTTTAAACAATCTATTCAACCCCCCTTCTAGATCAATCACATCGTCTAACAAGTGGTATCAGAGCACCGGTTCATCTGGTGCTTCACATATTACTTTGTAGAATATGGAGAACGATCCAAAAGGGGCTTATACGAGAGCTCTTGTTTTCACTGGTGAAAACTATAGCTATTGGAAAGATTGTATGCATGTGCACATTAACTTTGTTAATAGAAAGATATGGAAAGTTATCGAGGATGGTCCTATGCAAATAAGCATGACCAATGAGGATAACATTACCATACCGAAATCGGAAGTACTATGGGATGAGGAAGACGAGAAAAAGTATAGCTATGATTGGAAAGGTAGTGCTTATTGCTTCTTTAGGTGTTGATGAATATTTTAGAGTATCACATTGTGCGACTTCTAAAACAATGTTGGATGCTCTACAAATTTCCCGTGAAGGGACAAATGATGTTAAACTTGCTAGAATCAATACATTAACTCAAGAGTTTGATCTCTTTCACATGAAGCATGGTGAAACCATTGCTGATATGAAAAAGAGATTTTCTCATATAATAAATTGCTTACAAACTCTTGGTCATGTTACTCCCAATGTTGTTGCTACTAACAAAATTTTAAGATGTCTTAATAGGTAATGGCAGCCTAAAGTTACAGCAATTAAGGAAGCAAATAATCTAGCTACACTCGACATAACAACATTGTTTTGGAAGCTTCAAGAGCATGAGAAAGAGCTCACCAATCTCAATAAGCATGAGAAAAAGGAAAAGAAGGAAAAACCAAAAGACATGGAAAAGAAGTCTGTCACATTAAAGGCTTTAAGCTCAAATTAGTCCACCAATAACTTTTGTGTGAATGATTCTAGTGATGATGATGAAAGCTCAAGTGAAGACATGGGGTTGTTTATGAGAAAATATCACAGATATCTCCAAAGGAAAAGAAAATTTTCAAAAGAGATATAACAAAGCTAGAAGAGCATACATTGCTTAGGATAGCGATAGTGAAGCCTCAAAAAAAAATGACTCTAGTGACGAAGAAGAAACGGTCAACCTTTTCCTCATGGCTCATCAAAAGAAGAAAAGCAATGTAAGTCACTCTAAATATAATCACATTGATAAAATGTCTCACATAGAATTTCAAAGAGCTTTTGATACTCTATAAAATGAGGCTAAAGAAGCTTTTAAATGATTAGTCTCAAATAAGAAATTTTTTTCATACCATGAGCATAAAGTGTCCAAAACCCAAAAAGAATTGGAAGCTCTCAAGGCATCCATGGTAGAGAAAATAAAAAATGATAGCAAAGATGATAAGCTTTCTTGGCATGATTAGGTTGGATGTGAAACTTGCTACATTTGGCAAAGAGAGGTAAAAACTCTTAAAGCCAAACTTGACAAGGCTTTACAACCCAAAATTACTTTTAGCATTGATAGATCAAATTTCAGAAGTAGCATGATAAATCCATATCAAAAATACACTTATTAAATAATAGATCCTCCAAGCAAAAGTAAATTTCCCAAAACTCTAACATGTTTATATTGTAGCAAAAGGGGGCACACCATTAGCAAATGTCGATTTAGGAGGTTTTTGGTTCCTCAAGGCATTTTCAAATGGTTTCCAAAATGCAACTCAAGTATCATTCACACACAAGGACCCAATAAAAATTGGGTACCTACTTCCCTTGTTTAAACTTGTAGTTGGAATGTCTTGAGACTACGGAGAAAATATGGTTTCTCCGTAGTGGGTGTTCAAGACATATGAAGGGTGACATCTCCCTATTTTTTGACTTTATGGCGAAAAAGAAAGGATTTGTCACCTATGATGACAATAACAAGGGAACAATACTCGGTAAAGGTAGTATATGTAATCCCTCTTCTACTACTAGCTTAGATGTCCTATTAGTTGATGGTCTTAAACACAATCTTATTAGCATTAGTCAATTATGAGACAAAGGATACATTGTATCATTTTCAAAAGATTGTTGCATGATTGAACACAATGATAAGAAAGATGATGTGTTCAAAGGCTTGAGGGTAAACAATGTATACATGCTTGACTTGAAGAATGTATCTTTAACCGAAGCTAAATGTCTAGTCACTTTAAATAAGGATTCATGGTTTG